CTCACGGCTCCCCGCGGCACTGTCCCTACTGGCTTTAGCGCGCGGCTCCCGGCAGCGCCACTGCGCACTGAAGAAAGCGGCTCTCCCGGGAGGGCGCCGCGGCGCGGTCACCGTAACGAGGGCGCTGCGCCGGGACTGGGACCGCGGCGACTCCCCCGCATTCAGGCTGCGGGGCGCGGCGCTCGGGCGGCTCTGCCCGGGGGAAAGAGTTACAGGACAGTCGCGGATCCCTGTACAAGGCGGCAGCAGCGGCGCGGACAGCTGGGCAGGGCTGAGGGCTGCTCCCCAACCCCGCGGGCCTAGGCCATAGCAACGCCCGCCGCACCTGCTACGCACGCTGACCTCCCCATCATGGCGCCGGAGAACCCACCACCCGCCCATTCGCGCTTGACGGCACTGTCGCAATCATTCTGGCTGTCTCCGCTCAGCTGCGCTTTACGGCAAGATGGCGGCTAACGCGGGGCCGGGCACTGTGTTGTTTACGGGCCAGCTCTGTGCGCCGTAACCTGTTTCCCGTGTCCCGGCGCAGAGGCGCCATGGACCGTAGGAAGAAGCCACTGGAGGTCACGGTCGCCTCGGTGAGTACCGCCGGCCAGGGTGGGGGCAGCCGGGCGGGTAGGTGTCTGGCCTCTTCCCCCGATAGCCCCATGTCCTAGGCTGGTTCCCGCTGCCCCCCAGCTCCGTTCTCCAGACAGATTCCCCCTACCCCACCTGGGGAATGGACCCGCGGGGGGTGGGCAGAGGAAGGGGAGACTATACTCGCTCTCCTCCCCCAAGGTGCTGAAGAAACCCACCCCCTGGAGCGAGCAGGGTAGCTGGGTCTAGCTGCTCACCGCCCTACAAGCCTGGCCTCGCTCCTCCTAGCGCTGTGAGCGCATCGCAGCCAAGGCTCTGCACAGCGCAGGAAATGCCGTCGTGTTGTGACTACAGCTCCAGCTCATCCCCTTTTCGCCAGAGTATGTGAATGGCAACCCTCCACCTGGCTGGAGTCCGTAGATACAGGGATTTTGCTAGGTGAAGACACAGAGATTAAAGTGGTGTGGTGCATCATCATGGCATAATAAGACAACACCACAAGGTGTTACCAAGGTGCAAACATTTGTGGGATGTCCAGAAGGCCAAATATAAAAAGCTCCTACTTTCTGATGTACTACAGCAACAGTAAAGGGTTTTAGAACCATTTATAACGGGTCGGTAACCTTTCAGAAGTGGTGTGCTGAGACTTCATTTATTCACTCTAATTTAAGGTTTCATGTGCCAGGAATACATTTTAATGTTTTTAGAAGGTCTCTTTCTATATGTCTATAATATATAACTAACCTATTGCATCCGAAGAAGTGGGCTGTAGTCCACGAAAGCTTATGCTCTAATAAATTTGTTAGTCTCTAAGGTGCCACAAGTACTCCTGTTCTTCTTTTTGCGGATACAGACTAACACGGCTGTTACTCTGAAACTAACCTATTGTTATATGTAAAGTAAATAAGGTTTTTAAAATGTTTAAGAAGCTTCATTTAAAAATTAAATTAAAATGCAGAGCCCCCCAGACCGGTGGCCAGGACCTGGGTAGTGTGAGTGCCACTGAAAATCAGATAGTGTGCCGCAGATTGCCTACCCTTGATTTATAAGATGTTCAAGGTTCATGCAAGAACAGAAGGCCATTCACATCAGTTTTAGTTCCTCCTGGAAGTTCCCTTGGGGTTTTATTCAGTTGGTTTGTAGCTCATGACAGATAAATTAAATGGTTTTGTATCTCTGAGCTATTTTATTGTAGTTGGTAATCACACTTACATGCAACACAAATTAAATTAAGCAAAACTTGTACTTACTCAGTTTTAAGAGCCCTCTAGGAATTCTTTCCTCCTACTCAGGTAGCGCCTCTTTCTGAGAGGATACATATTAGAATTGTAGCATTCATCTCTTCACCAGAATTGGGTCCTGGTGAGAACACAGCTACTTTATACCCCATGTAGAATAGGAGAAACAGCTGTGCCTTGTATATCCCAGCTGGTGATCTTTATTTTCCTCTACCTATTGAGTGTGTTTATTGTTTGAAACAGGGATGAGGTGCTACTGGACAATGAGGGTTCCCTTAAGAGCTGTAAAATGGTCTGTGTGCCCTGTTACATACCCACAAAGTTATATAATCCTTGGGTTGGTCTAAATACAGAAGGTTCAACATAATCTAAGAATAGTCTTTCTCCAACCTTCATCAGAAAACAAAATGCCGCTGAGTAAACATGGGGTATTGTCTCTTGCCTCACCCCCAACACCTCAACCCTATTAATAAAAAATAAATCCTAATGTAAAAAATGAATAGTTTGCACTTAATACCTTTTTTCCAAATATCTCAGTGTGTCTTTCTGTGGGATGCTGCTGCGCTTTGGCATGGCAGTTGTAGCCCTGTGACCTTACACTTTCCCCTTCAAATACAGTACACTGAACACTTTACCTGTGCACCTATGTCAGTGCTGAATTTGCTAATGTTACTCAGGCTATATTTAGGGTTTGTATTTTGTGAAGGAGATGAATGTGAATGTATTTCCTGATTGTTTTTGGAGGCAGAAGGAGGTTTTGTGAAGATGCATAGTCTCTGACTGTCATTGGAAATGTCTTCTGTGGACATTGGGGTACAGTTAAGTGATTTCCCATAGCTTGATATATTCCCTTGCTGTTAAGGGTATGTTTAAATGGAATTAAGGTTGGTTAAGTGAGACATTCCTATTAAACATTTGTTTATGGAGCATCCTTCATGGGAGGCTAAGTTTCTACAAAAGTCCCAAATATGAAAGCAGTAGGTAACTTCATTCATACCTAAGAGGTTGTCAGACCTCAAACATAACATGAAATAAGGTGGCATTTTGCTGTTCATTTATTTTCTGTGGTATACTTTTGTTTGTAGTCTAAGCATCTCTCATTGATTCATTGAAGTCTTTGATAGTTTCACTCCATTATTTTTATTAATGCTCCATCAGCGTTTTGTGTCTCAGTATAATCTAGCAACTTAATTGAAACACAGCAATTAAAATAAATAGGGTTGTATCCAAAACATGCATTTAATGAACTTTTGCATTAGCACTTCTGACAGTTCAGGAAAAGCTTGGATGATTAGCACCATTGTATTTGTGGAAAATTTTAATATCAAGGGCAACCAACAGCCTGGTTAAATTTCTTGTAGAAATCAGTTTACTGTAGGACTGACTGAAGAAGCCATCAGATCATAAATGTTTTGTTGGTTGGTTGTTTTAAAAAGGGACTCCCAGACTCCTGAAGGCAACTGTTCCAAAGCAATGCACCTGCTGAGTGAAGTTTCTTGGGCCCAGATTCTCAAAGATATTTAGACACCTACCTCCCATTTAAGTCAATGGGTGTTAGGTACCTAAATACCTTTGAGAATGTGGGCCTTGATAACTAACATTTGTGGTGATGATTAATACCAATCGGAGTTACATATTCATATTTATAAAAAAGAAAGTCTAAAAGCAGCAGGGAAGAAGGTACTTTTTAAAAAGACTAATGTCTATCAGCTAATTTTTTATTTTTTTTGGTAAAAAGGAAAGTTTTGCTTGCCAGCAAATCTCCTTAGGGGTTACTTTTTAAATTAAAAACAAACTATTGTTAGTTTATTACAGTCTTTGGTTGGTATTTGTATGGGATTATGCCCATTTTGTTTCTGCAGATATTCCATTTTGGAGTGAAGGATCAGTAATAGAAGCTTTTAATTAACTTATTTAACCACCTAATCATAAATTATGTACTGTCTCATTATTTTAGATTACATATTGTTGCAAATATCACAAAGTTCTTCCTATTCAAATCACTGCTCCTATTTTCTACATCAGAAATGCAATCAGTTTATTTTATAACAGGTGTAAACTCTTGATTTCTCACATAAGACTCTAGAAATTCCCTAATTATTTTGTTAAAATGACTTTTGTTGTTTTTTATTGTGGCTGATGTAGTTGGTAGATTTAAAGGCTGAACTCTTCCGAAAGCAAGAAGAATTCAAGAAGGAAAAACTTCTGAAAGATGCTGGACTCTCTGTAAAACCCCAAACAACAAACAAGGTAGAAATAAAATATCCATCATTACTCATTATTTTTCTGTTTTTCTTTCAGTTTTTCTAGGCATCTCCCAGAATTGAAGAACAAGCCATTAGAAAATCTAAAAAGTTAATACAGTGTTTCATTTCCAGTTGTAGGACAAAGGTTGTGATGGCTTTATAATCAAATTTCTATTGACTCATTTCCAGTTGAGTCTCTCTCTCAAAAAACAAAACTCACCATTCAATTATATTGCAAAGCTGCATTTAAATAATCTCTTAATCTATGTACTCTACCCACCTGTGAGCCCCAACCTCCTTAAATGCCAGTAAGAAAAAATGATCTTTGAATTTTGACAAATCCATGATCAGTTGGACTAGGAAAGCACTTTCCAGAGACAATGAACCTTCTTGGAAAATGCCCTGCCATCAGCTCCTATTCATTTATATTGGGGAAAATAATATCAGATGCACTGCAATCTCATACTTCAATCTCTACTGCAATAAAACCTCTGTTCATTTTTCTAAAATAACATATTTCATAAACCTGACTTTTCAGTCATGTTCAGATTTAGTTTTAACATTCAGACCAAATGAATTTGTGTGATCTTGTGGCTATCTTGTTGTAGACTGAAGTATTATTGCTATGTTTGAAGACCATGCAGCATTTTTGCCTTTACATGCTAAAAGTTAGACTTGTTACTATGTTATGTGTAGAACTAGAAATAAACATCTGGAAGAATTATGCAAACAGATCAGAATTAGGTGTCATTTTGAAGAAAATGGTCAGGTTATAACCCTGAAAAATATCAGTCCCATAACAGGCTATGTAATTCTGTATGAAAGGGTCAGTGACTAAGGTATATGAAGCTTTATAAAAGTTATTTTTGTTGACCGTATCTAATTAAGAACCCAAGTTCTCTTGGCATATGAGAGATACTGTACACTATACTTGTATCAGTACTTCTCACACTAAGTCTTTGGCATCATTCTTCCTGATAATCTTCACTTCCAAGAACAATATGAATTATTCTTAGATTTGCTTTTCCTTTAGTAATATTGTTCAGTAAGCAACTATTATCTTTATCTATAGCTGCTCAAGAATAAAATTTGTGTTCCAAGTTTTTAAATAAAAAATCATAAACTCACGTTAACCCCTTTGTTGGTTCTCCTTCCTGTGCTATCATAAATTTAAGACACATCTGCTACTGTCCACATCACAGCATCAGGATTATATGAAGAATGTTTAAGCAGATAAATAACTCCAGAGCCTTTCTTTTTTTCTTTTTCTTTTTTTTTAGTGGTCAAATAAGGTTGAAATCCTGTGTTTTAAAAACCTATGTTCCACAGAAACCAAGCATTTGGAATAAACAGAACACAGGGGTTTCAAGTCGAGCTGAGAAAGATGTTGAGCAGAAGATAGAAGAAGATCAAACGTTAGAGAAAGCGAGGTAATTTTTAAGTTGGAGTAATACAAATAAATAAGAGGAACAAACGCTTTGTAGAATTTTTTTACACTTGTAACAAATTGCATAAAATAAATCATGCAAATAGCATAATGCAAGTAAAAGTGGCAGCTATTCAGTTTTCACTGGGATGCAACTGGTTCATTGATTGTTAATGTCTCTCCACTCGCTGCACTGTGAGACATCTACACTTACATTATTGTATCCACAGAAATTTGACAGAGTATAAATTTTCTTTTAAAGCATTTTCTTCCATTTCAGTAAAAGCATGGATACAAACACCACAATCAGTATTTTGTGCTCCGAAGAATACGTATTTATAATTTTTGCAAAAAACTGTCTCTTACCTATTTAATAAGATATGTTTTTGAGGAAAATTACAGGTCAATGACCTGAGTTGGTTAGTTGTACAATTAAAATATACATTTAAAATGTGACATCTGCTGGTTCTCTGCTATAAATTCTCCATCTCTTACGAATACATAGGTGTAAACCATTCCAGGAGCTAGTTTTAAGATATTCTTTCTGGTTTCTGTGTCCATTTAGATCAGTGGTGGGCAACCGCGAGACAATGTTTACATTAACGTGGTGAGCGCATGGCCGCTTGCAATTACCAGGGGCCACAG